GCTGTGGCTCAAGAGGTAGAGCATTGTTTTGAGCACAGAGAGGCTTGGGGAAAGTGCCCAGGTCCTGAGTTCAAGCCCCAGGACCACCACAAAAAAAAAGAAAAAGAAAAAATGAATTAAGAGAGAGGCACATTTTATAAACTTTTGAACGAGGGAGATGAGAAACGCTTAGTGGGTAACAGGTTTGTTTTTTCTTTGAAAATATTTTATTGTTATTACAAAGGTGATGTACAGAAGGGTTACAGTTATATAAGTCAGGTAAAGAATATATTTCTTTTTGGACAATGGGGTGACAGGTTTTTAAGGATTAAAAGGAACCCCATGTCTCTTGTCTTCATGAGGTCCCTGTTTCTATGTCAAAATTGTTCGTATGGTAGGGCCAGCTCCCTTCACCTCCTACCTAGGTACTCTCAGCATAGCCAGAAATAGAGTTTTGAACACACTGGTCTCCTTTCTTCCTTCTACATTACAATAAAATTTCTGAGCCCAATGATTCTCCAATACAAGTCACACCTAGGCTAAGATCTGTTTGCAAAGGCTACCTTCAGTTCTAAGTCTCTGATCTCCTTCTTGGTCTAAGAGTAGGGACTCCCAAAAGATTTACCACTGGGAGCCAGACTGGATACCTGTCAACCACTGTCATGGAATTGAGAACAATAGTTGAGTAATGGCTTTCAGAGAATCTCAATCACAAGCAGAAGAAGCCAGATTCCAAATACACAAGAATCAACCAAGAATGCAAAGAAAAGAGGCCTAGAAGCACAGGGAATCCACACCAGGGCGGTGCAGAGAGGACTTCAGCCCATGTACACAGGCCATATGATGTCTCTCTGTGTCTTTTTTTTTTTCCAGTCTTGGGGTTTGAACTCTGGGCGTGGGTGCTTTTCTTGAGCTCCTATTTCTCAAGGCTAGCATTCTGCCACTTGAACCACAGCTATGTCTGGCTTTTTCGGTGACTAATTGAAGATGAGTCTCATAGACTTTCCTGCCCAAGCTAACTTTGAACCATGATCCTCAGATTTTAGCCTCCTGAGTAGCTAGGATTAAAGGCATGAGACACCAGCACCCGGCCATTAATTTTTTGATGGCACTTGGGTTTGAAATCAGGGCCTCGCATCTGCTGGTCAAGCACACTACCACTTGAGCCACTCTGCCAGCTTTTTTTGCATTGTTTATTTTTTGAGCTAGTGTCTCAGGTTTATGTTTGGGCCAATCTGGACTTTGATCCTCACATTTGTGCATCCCTGTGTAGCTGCGATGATGAGGACCTGTGCCCCTGTGCCAAACCATACACTGAAATAGTCTCTTGAACTTTTTGCCAAGGCTAGTCTCAAACCACAGTGCCCCAGATTTCACCTCCAACGTAGCTAGGATTGCAGGCTTGAACTACCTCGCCTGGCTGCTTTTCTGTTTCTGCCTTTCTGTGGCCCTTTTGGGATACTACCCAAAATTCACTATTTATTTTCCTGTGCAATCATGCTGTCTACCTAAGAAAAATCTTCCAAAGAAGAGAACTCCCTTGGTGCTTGTCAGAAGCTCAGAACTTTTAATCAGATCTTGGTGAACTGCTATGGGATAGACAGGTAGAGAAAGCTTTTACTTGGCTGAGAAATTGTGTTGACTACACAATAAGCCTTCCAAGAAACAGTGATAAAAATAGATTGTCTGCTCTGTAGTATGAAGGCCAGAAGAAAGAAGAGAGGCTTACAAACCCCTTTTAGGAAAGGAGGCGTTACTTGTTGGCTTATTGATAATCATGGAGCAGAAAGCTAAAAGGACATTGAGAACAATGATTTCCAAACTGTTTGCAAAACCTTAGGATTTAGGAAAGCATCATGAAATAAACAAAGGGCCGGTACCTGTGGCTCGTACCTGTAATTTTAGTTACTCAAGGAGCTGAGATCCAAGGCTCAAAGTTAGAAGCCAGTCTAAGCAGAAAATCTGTGAGATGCTTACCCAACCAAAAGCCAGCAGGGAGGTGGGGAGGACCAAGCTGTAGAGCCCCAGCCTTGAACAAAAAATCCAAGCAAGACTGGGAAGCCCAGACTTCAAGTCTCAGTGCCATCACAGATAATGATAATAAAATGAAATAAATGGTCAAGTTCATAGAAACACTTATCTACATATAAAACAGTCTGTCAAAAATGGTTTCATGGCTAAAGAAATGTTTGGAAAACCATGAGTTAGGCCAATTTCACAAGGAAAACAAAGCAAAACAGAAGGACAGACTCCAGAAAGTGAATGGAATCACTGAATCTCCTTACTCCTACTTCCCTTAACATCCGCTAGAAAAGAGGATTTGGTATTGCTGGTATATGCAAGTCCTTTGCCTGTAAATGAAGGGATGATGAGACAGGCATGGCTACCAACACCAAGTTGCTCAGAGTCGAGTACACCTAGATTCTAGTGGGACCCTAGATGCCTGCTTAGCATCTGTAACTTACTGAGGCTCAGAACGTGGACATGCAGCCTTGTCACACACTCTCCACATTGGCCCAGTCAGAACTTGGAGATCTGAAAGGTGGATGACTTCATTCTTCTGCTAAAGAGAATGATTTGGGATTGACAGTAGTTTTCTCTCAGCACTTTGAGTTCCACATCTTCCAGATGCTGTGAGGAAACACCTGTTGGTCTAATCCCCCTCATCATGAAGGTCCTGTGGCTTTCCAATCTGGCATCTTTAGCTCTCCTCTTTGCCTTTGATGGTCTAACTTTCATGACTAGGTGTCTAGCAACGGGTTTTATTTTGCTTGTGTTTCTGCTAGGGACACATTGTACTTCCTGAAATTGTTAATATACTTGATCAGGTCTGAAAAATTCTTAGCCATGGCTTCTTGGAATATTCCCTGTCTCCCATTCTCCCACATCTACCCCTTGGACCTTTGCTTAGGTGCATTAGGCTGTTCATCCCATCCTCCATCTCTGTTCTTTTCTATTTTCTTTATCCACGATTATTTCGTAGTAAATTCCTCAAATCTGCTTTCAGATGTATTCATCTCATCCACGTTTTATTCCTAAAAGTCATTGTCAAGTATGCTGAAGACAATGTATGACCAGAAAGATGTATCTAGTCAATTCCTGCTTTAAAAACATTTTCTTGCCAACCTCTGGTAGCTCATGCCTATAATCCTAGCTACTCAGGAGGCTGAGATCTGAGGATTGTGGTTCAAAGTCTGCCTGGGCAGGAAAGTCTGGAAGACTTTATCTCCAATTAACCTCCAAAGTGGAACTGTAGCTCAAGTGGTAGAGTGCTAGCCTTGAGCAAAAAACAAAAAAGCTCAGAAACAGCACCCAGGCCCTGAGTTCAAACCCAAGACCAGCATGTGTGTGTGTGTGCGCGCACACACACACACACACACACACACACACACACACACACACTGTGCTTTATACCTGAAGATTTCAAACTCTAAAGTCCTTAAAGATCTGTATCTCTTTGTTTCCAAGTTTCCTTTTCTGGTATGCTTTATAGCCTTGGATTATGAGCAGCTCTTGCTTGCTTCATCTTTATTTGTGCTGATCCCGATGGTCTACTATAGCAACAGTTCCCTCCAAAGAGAACTTACAGTTTCCTCTGCCTGAGCCTGGGAGCCTTACTAGCCTTCCTTCCCAGAAGGGCCCAAGGCTGGATGAGTGTCTCAGATTCAGCTGCCTCAGCCTGCCCAGTCCCCAGGCTCCATGTCTTCTGAGCAATTCTCCCTTGTGCATTTGCTGTCTGCTCACTGTTTTTACCTCTGGTTTCAGCACATGTTTTTAAGTTTACTGAGTTGTGGGGGAAGGACATCATGCAGGCATCTTTCAATTTGCAAGAGGTACAGTGCATCAAGAAGCATGCTCTAACCAGAGCCTCAATGTCACTGCATGGGTTTATCCTAACAAGTAAGCAGTTCACTGTGATGCTGGAGGACCTCTTTCAATGAAAACAATCCTGGCAGTGGAGTCCTCATGCTGCTGGGCTTTGTCCTGAAGCCTTCAAGCTTAAACACTCATCGCTAAGATTCTTCGAGTGATCTGACAGGAATGATACCTCAAGAACAAAGTGGATGAGAAGCGTAGGTTAAGCTCTGTCTTCTCAACAAGTATTCCTGGATTTTCTCTTCCTCTGGGGAGGCCAAGGCCTGACTCTTTCAGATCACATCCAACTCTGTCCATCTTTCTTTTCTACCCTTACCTGTTGATAAGAGCCTTTCCTTTCTTGGAAGTTCTGATCCCTTATCTTTAAAGAGTATAGATTGCGAAATACTTGCATACCCAGGCATACCTATCTTTTCAGAAGCCCTCTGACACAGCACCGCACCAACATCTCAACTTCAGAAGAGGACACTGGGGTCCAGAGAAGCCATCTGATTTACCTAGTGACTGAACATCTATTCATCACAACCTCCATACATTTCCCCTGACTCCAAACCCATTTCTTTACCCTTCTAAACTTGCCTTCCATGAGAAAGCACAACCCACTCAATGACTCATTCATTCATCTAGTACTTACTGATCATCTGTTATAGACTAGGTTCTAGGCATGAGGATATCACTAACAACAAATTCTTGCCCCTCCATCCTTTACAGTACAGTCTAACTAGCAGCAAGATAATAAATAAACAAGCAGCTGTATATGCCAGAGTTGGTCATTGCCATGATAAAAAGTAACACAGGGATAAAGTGGGGTGCTAGGCAGTTACAGGACAGTATAAATGGCATGAGGGAAAGAGCCATGAAAAGCATCATAGATAGAAGGAACAGCATGTCCCAAAGCCAAAGCAGGGAAAAACATGGCAGGTTCTAGAAACACTGAAGGGCTCTGGAACTACAGTGGCCCAAGCAAAGAAGAGAGCAGTGGAAGATGAAAGAGAAGAGGTGTCTGGACCATGTTAAGGAAGATTAAAGGAGCAGGTTTGAGGAAGGAAGGAGTGTCTGGCCCTAGCAAGTTTGCTTTCTCTACCTGTGTGGTGATCAACTCTGGGTTTTAACAAATCTCTTCTATTTGCTTGTCTCATTCACAGGCTTACAGGTTTTCCCAGCTTCCTGAAATGGTCATGGGCTCTCCTCCACCACCTGTACCTCCTCGGACTGGCCCAGTGGCTGTCACTTCCCTCAGGCGGTAACACGACTGCTTTCTTGGTTTGGAACAGTCGGGAAGGGTTTAGTCTCGTGTGAAACAGGCTCTATGAGTAGTATCACCGGCAAATTCCCTTCGTGGCTGCTCCATTCAAGATGCATCGCCTGTACAGGCAGCTGTGTCCCTGGAGACATCTTGAGTACCAGAAAGAAAGTGCAAACCCACAAGGGGTCACCAATGCTTGTCTTTCTAAGTAGAAAGTCCTTAAAGATCCATAGTCAAAAACACTCGGGGTCAGATAGAAGCCCCATACCCTGACTTTGAGCATGTAAAAATGGGTCTAGTTCAAGTCTATAAGTATGTATAGACTCAAAGACTTAGAAGTCTATGAGTCTATATTTCAAGTATATAAGACTATAAGACAGGATGCCTCCTGTCCCATTTGCACACCTTAGGGAGTGTCTGAGAGGCCACGGGGGAACATGTCTGGGCATCTACCCCAACTCTTCACTTCTAAAGCAGAGAGGCTTTAGGTACACTAACTCAAACCTCTCAATAGGAAGTATTTATTAAATGTTCTCTTTGCTCCATAATGCTATGGCTATTTTAAATAAAGATAGGCAGGAAGCGCCAAAGTCATGAGCACTAGAAAAGACTGGACTATGCTTGAGGCCCAGGGTTGGGAGAAACAACTATGTCCTGGGTCTACGCAAGGACCTCTGCCCTGGCCCTCCTGCCTCAGCCTTCCCAATATACGACTCACACCGCAGCTGTGGCCTGCAGGTGTGGTTCATGAAAATGGTGGAGAAAAATACTAGCATTCCCAGAAAAGATCCTGTTTTCAGCGCTAGTGGCTTAGAATGTAAGGCTGTGGAGACATTACCCCTTGAGGCAGTGGAGACCAGGGTGGGGTAAAAAGCAATGGGGTTCCATTCACTAACCTGCCAGGGCCGTGCTGTATGAGTCCAGGCTAATTGTCTTAGTTATCTGTAAAAGTAAGGGCAGTGGCTGAAAGCTCTAGGATTCCTCAGAAAGGGTCTCTGCAGAGTAGAGAGAACAGAACCTTGAAGGCATAGTAGCAGAAGCCTGGAACAGCATGCAAGCACCAAGGCTGTCGGTGATCAGTAGGCACAAGGAGGAAGGAAAGGAGATTCCTATACAAGCCATGTCCCCAACCCTCACCCACCCTCCATTCCACCTCTCAGCCCCACTCTGCAGTCAGTTCTTCACAGCCTCCTCCTAGGAAAGAGGAGTTACTTCTCAGTTACTCCAGGGATTCTAGATCAGAGGGTCGGTCCTTGGGGCTCATCTGCTGATAGCCAGCATCTCTTCTTCTTCTGCCAACCAGCCGCCCCTCCCAGGCCCCTCTGTGCCAACACAAGGGATCACTCTCCATCCTAGAACTCACAGAAGAAAACAAGGACCTCACCTTCAAAGTGAAGTTCTCCACTTCGTTCCTTTTACAGATGAGGAAAGTGAGACTTAGAAAGGGGGTGGGCGAAGAAAGGAGCCCAGGCCCCTCCCTCCTTGCCCTCTCTCCCTTGCTGTGATGTCTTCTGCTTTTACTGTGACAGCTAGTAGTCAAGGTGATCCTGTAGGCTGCCACTTGCTACTGGCCTCCCATTTTAATTTAAGGAAGCCTCTGCCTCAGGTGAAGGGTATTGCCTGCCAGGAAAGGTGGATGGCAGGGACGACACACTATGGACAGGGGCGGTGCCTGTGTTTGCTGAGCTGTCTGCCCTCCTCTACCACGGCTTCCTGAGCGCTAAGTAGAAAGATGATATAGAAAGATGGACCTGTATATCTGATTGCCTGGGGCCTGAAAAAGAGCAGAGAGCTTCTGTTATTCCAAGTGCTGGTTGTCTCCTGCTCCAGAAAGCAACCTGCCCTTCCCAGAGCAATGGCTTCCTGCTTTCTGCCCTAGTAGCAGCAAAAGTGGCTCCCCAGCATCCTAGGGTACTTTTAAAGTCAGCCACAGGAAAATCCTACACACATACACACACACACACACACACACACAGAGAGAGAGGGGGGGGGCATTCCAGATGGAGCTTTCCCATTGGCTGATGATGATGTCATCACCTCCCAGGCCAAGCATCCCCAGCTACCACTCAGTACTAATTGCTTTGCTTCTTTTATGTGGATTAAGTTTTCTACTACCCACCCACAAGCCAGAAAACCACCCTTCAGGGAGAACTGACCTTGAATAGGCAAAAATGATTCCAGGGTTGGGCCACCTGGAAAGCAGCTACAAATCTAGATGCCTCCTGCAATACATCTATCTACCTATTCCCAGAAGTCCCTTTGGTATTTGGAGGCAAACAAGTCTCAAGGACCCCCCCACCCCTTCATGGAGCTTAAAGGCATCAGCCCATTACTAAAGACGACCAAGCTGCCAACCCCACTGGCCTGAAGATGAGGGACCAACATCCTCTTCCCTGCCCAGGTCCACCTCAGACATCGGCAGCAAGACCCGAATGGCCGAGTCCTCGGGGCCTGAGCAGGCCCAGCTGCATGACAGTGCCTCCTTCGCCCAGGTGTCCAGAGGTCCGGTGTCGGTGGCACAATTGGATCAGTCAGCTTTAAATTACTCAGGTAAGAAGGAGGAAGAAAGGGACCCCAGTTCCTGCTTCTGAGCCCTTCATCCTCCTGGCCCCCAAATCCATGCTATCTGCTGCCTGCCCCCATCAGGGACCAAAGCCACCGCACCTGATCTGCCCATGACTTCCTATCCCTCACTACAAGAGCTACTGGTTTTATTCCTCATAAAAGATCGGTGTAGCCGGTCCCTGGTGGCTCACGCCTATAATCCTAGCTACTTAGGAGGCTGAGATCTGAGGATCACGGTTCAAAGCCAGCCCGGGCAGGAAAGTCAGTGAAATTCTGATCTCCAATTATCCACCAGAAAATCAGAAGTGGTGCTGTGGCTCAAGTGCTCCCGTTGAGCTGAAGAGCTGAGGGACAGTGCCCAGGCCCAGAGTTCAAGCCCCATGACCAAAAACAAAACACAAAAAGATCGGAGTAGGGGAAGTTATACTAAAGATAACTGTATGTTAGCATTTTGCCTTACTTTAGATTTTCATGGGAAAAGTAGGTGGATTTCTTAGTTTAATGTTTATCTCTTGTATTACTGTTGGTGGTGGTTGTGGGGACTTGAACTCAGGGTCTGAGTGCTGTCCCTGAGCTTTTATACTCAAGGCTAGCACTCTACTGCTTTGAGCCACAGCTCCACTCTCAGTTTTCTGGTGTTTAATTGGAGATAAGAGTCTCTTGGACATTCCTGCCCAGGCTGGCTGCAGACCACAATCTTCACACCTCAGCCTCCTTAGTAGGTAGGATTACAGGTGTAGCCGCCAGCACCCTGGCTAAAGTTTGTTTTATCTTTAAAGCATTATTCAGACATTTCCCTTCTTTCCCAGGTAATCAAAATCTTCAAGCCCTAGGTTTTGGTTTTGTTTGGGGTAGAGGCAGGTCCTGGAGCTTGACCTCGGGGCCTTGTGCTCTTGCTCAGCTTTTCTGCTTGGGGCTGACATTACCACTTGAGCACACTACTACTTCTTGCTTTTTGCTGGTTAATTGCAGATCAGAGTCTTTCAGATTTTTCTGCCAGAGCTGGCTTTGAATCTTGTCTTGATCTGTGTCCAGAATTTTGCCATGACAAATAATGACAAAACGGAACAGAGAGTTTTGCTCATGACCCAATTGTTATTTTGGTTTATTCAGGCCACTCAACCCTTTTAGGCTAAAACTTCAAGTGCCTAATTGCACTAATTAAAGCCTTCATGGTGTCTATAAATCTCACCCACATAGTCCATTTCTTTTGTTCTTTTGGAGGGTGTTATTTGTTTATTTTGGTGGTGCTGGGGTTTGAATTCAGTGCCTCACACTTGCCAGGCCGGTGCTCTACCAAGCACACCTCTCAGCCCTTTTTTACTTTGGTTCTTTGTGTGTGTGTGTGTGTGTGTGTGTGTGTACACCAGTCCTGGAGCTTGACCTCAGGGCCTGGTCACTGTCTCTGAGCTTTTAGTTGTTGTTGTTGTTGTTGTTCAAGGCTAGTGCTCTACCACTTACGGCACAACTCCACTTCCAGCTTTTTTGGAACTTAATTGGACATAAGACTCTCATGACTTTTTTGCCTGGGCTGGCTTTGAACCTCCATCCTCAAATCTCAGCCTCCTGAGTAGCTAGGTTTAAAGGTGTGAGATACCAGCACCTGGCTTGCTTTGGTTATTTTTTAAATAGGGTCTTAAGATTTTTCCCCTGTAGCAAACCTGTAATTGCATTCTCTTCCCTATGCCTCCTACAGAGCTAGGATTACAGGCCTATGCTACCATGCCCAACTTATTTATTGAGATGAGATTTCTTACTGACTTTTTGCCAGTTCTTTCCTTGAACCATGTTGCTCCTGATCTCTCCCTTCCAAGTAGCTAGAATTACAAGCATGGAACCTCCTCACCCAGACTTTTGAGTTTTTAAAAATTCTTCCTGGAAGGGAAGTATCTGTACTGTGAGGCATTCTTTCTTAATGCTAGCAGATCAAGAGTATAGGTGTGGGGAAGAGGGAGTTGATCAGAGCTCCTTGACACAGACAGCTGGTATCAAAGCCAGTCTGAATCACTGCAGACAATACCCACCCATGTTGACTGTGCTGGGATCATACTAAGAGTTTCCAATTCCCCCTATGCTCCCAGACTTTTTCCCTCTCATTCCCTAGCAAGAGCCAGTATCAGAGGCCTTCCTGAATTCCTCAGCTTCCTTAGCTGCAGAGGGACAGGCCAGTGGGTAAGAGCTGAGCTAGGCCCTGCCTGAGAGGCGGGAAGGTGGGAAAAGTCAAGCACTGCTAGGCCACGCTGCGTTTGGTGAAATTAGAAAACAGCTTTCCTTCCCCTGAGTGAAAGCAGTCCCGTGTCTGGCAGAGAACACAGGCAGGATTTGGATCCCACTTAGCCTCTAGGCCAGATACCTTGAGCAGGATACCACCTGCTCCACTGTGCACAGTGACCTTAGAATTGCTGCACAAACATGGAAATATAGTTCCCCCCCCCACTGGCATCACCTTCCTCCTTAATGCTCTGATAACCTGGAATCTTCACCATTGTACCTTACATGGAGCTACAATTCTAGTTCAGCCCAGCCAGCTCTACTCAACTCAGAGCTGATTTTCATTTTGGGGTGTGTGTGTGTGTGTGTGTGTGTGTGTGTGTGTGTGTGTGTGTGTGTGTGTGTGT